TGCACGTATTTTCTACAAACCTAATCAAAGTTGAAAAATTTTGATCTGCACACATCCCATAACAACTTCTATCGTGTGACGGAGGGAGTATGATGCAAAAGCTGAAAGTTGTTTTTCTACTACCTCCCTAAAAAAAACTGATATTCTGTGATTTAAAATTTGTCCAAAAAAATTGATATTTTGAATTTTAGGCACACTGTTGGTCCACAATTCCGATGCCATTGAGATGCACTACTGATTGTTGCCAGCCTTGGATCTCTGCTTGCTTGACTGCAGCATGTCTTAATTAGGAAGTAAACCACGCGACATCTCTTCTTTTAAAGGAATCATGTGTGACATACCGAGGGTATTAAGGATATTTCTCTTCTCCACTTTTTTTTTTTGCGAATGCTCTTCTCCACTAATTTGTCTGAAAAAATCCGGAATATCACTATTTTTTAAGGACGGAGGGAGTATTTTCTAAAAAATGTGCCAACTCATGGACTCATGGTTTACCAAACAGAACCCTTCCCCAAAAAATTTCCTGTATTGGGAGAGTTGATGCTACTTTGTTGCTCCAACCGATTCCATTTTTGCTGAACAAACTGAACTGACGTCGCCTGATGCTTTTCAGTCTGATATATACCCTGATAGCAATGTGGATTCTTTTAGTTTCCTGCTGTACTGCTGCTTGTGCCTTTTCTTGTCTCGTACTAAAAGGAAGGCTGTGTTGTCTGTCCTAGTCACTCAGTAATCACTGAAAGGAGTTCGATCACTACAAGTTAAATTTGAAATTGTCTGATTCCTTGAGAAATCAGATTTTCATTATTTTTGGGACGGAAACAGTACATCTGTTTATATCTAAAAACAATTCTTGTTTTGTTCCAATTCCAATAACCTAGTTTTACAAAAAATTTAAAAATTATCAATGTTTATGACACCAAATAGATAAACGAAGGTTTCATGATAAATATAATGGTAATTATTCGATAATATAAATGTTGTCACCTTTTCATATAAATTTAATAACATTTAAGATAGTTTTAAAGAAGGGGCTAGCATGTTAGCACTGAAAATGGTTCGGAAGGACACTGATCTGATCTGTCATTACGAAATAGCTTGTATATCTCGTACGGTGATGTTCTCAATTGAGCGTCTGTCCGGCCAGACGGGATGGATCCAATTGTCCCGTGCCTCGTGCCTCACACCCCCACCAGCGCCTCGCGCCACGCACTGCTCGCGTCTTGCGCCGCTTACGCCTCGTGCCTCGCGCTGTGCTCCACCCCACCTCGCACCTCCCGACTAGACTCGCGTGGCGCAAAGCCGAGGTCCGACCTCCATGCCGTGGCATTGAGCTCCGTACCGGCGTCAAGCTCCGCATCAACGAGCATCCATTGGGGGCAGCAAGTAGATGAACACATGTTGCAACCATATGTTTCATGCGTTTTAGATGTATGTTGCATATGTTTCATCTAGATTTTGCAAAAGTAGATCTGAGTTGCATATGTTGCAATGACTATACACGCATGTTGCAAGTGTATGTTTTAAATGTTTTAGTTGTTTCAAATGTATGTTGCAAGTGTTTTATCTGGATGTTGCATATGTTGTACTGGCTATACACGTATGTTTCAAATGTATGTTGCAAGTGTTTTATCTGGATGTTGCATATGTTGCACTGGCTATACACGTATGTTGCAAATATATGTTTCAAATGTTTCAGCTGTTTCAAACGTATGTTGCAAATGTTTTTATTTGGATGTTGCATATGTTGCAGTGACTATACACATATGTTGCAAGCGTATGTTGTAAATGTTTTCATCTATTCGGACATATGTTACATCAAATGTTTTATGTTGCAAATGTTTTATGAGCAGGCGCGCAAGGGGGCGCAGGCAAATGTGGTCCCCTCGGACGCAGAGGTTCGCACGGACACGACAGCAGGCGCGGAAGCACAAAACTGTATACATGGGCGTGGCAGGAGGCATGGAGCACGAAGCTGCATCGTTGGGCGGGCGGCAGGCACGGAGCACGAGGCGAAACGGATCACGAAGCTGCATCCATATACATCCCGAGGTATCAGTATTGAAAACGGATGGGTAGCAGCACGCGTGCCACGTACGGACGTCCGGGCGCTCTCCGTTATCTCATATCAATGTTTAGGTAGGACGGAAGCGTTTCTAATCTCTATCAATACCAGCCTCGATACTCACTAATACAGTATCGCCTAATCTAATTAACAAGTTCATAGCATTCCACAACAAATCTGTTTTCTCGTGGAATGTAACACCTCATTTGTTGTGGGACCATATGCTACCTTAACTCCAACTTTATAGTATATATTATAAGTATGATTAGGGCTAATGCTATGTGTAAATTTATTATGTGCAATCATTTATATGTGACGTATCGCATATATATATTTTTAGTATTTAAGTCCAGAACGGTTGGCTGTGCTTCGAAAAAGATATTTAAAAAATGGGTTAAGGCAAGACGCTTTTATCTGTGTGCTATTATAAAAATGTGTAATTACCTATAATCTATTAAAAAGTTTGAGCGGTCGTAGATGCCACTGGTCGAAATTTTTTGCCCTACATGCCATTCTGTCCACTTTTATCTCTAAAGGTGTTAAACTACCGTGAAAAAATATAAAATACCCTTAGTTCTGGAGGCCATACAAAAGTTGGTCATTCCTCTAGTGCCACTAATGTCCGCTGCGTGGTTTGCAAGCACGCCAGCAGCCTCTCCGTGTGTGGCCACCTCACCCTCAGCATGCCGTTAACCTACCCTGTAGGCCACCATGACACTGAGGCTCCGTTCATTTGGCAGAAATTGCACTCTAAACCCATTTGAAAAATCTTTGCTCGCGAATTATCGTGAGAAAAATATTGTAAAAAAGAAGTCGAACAAACTAAATATGGAGTAAGCCCAACGAGGCCACCTGCACTCTTCCCCAAGCCCCTCGCGCCGCAGCACCTCGTCTAAGGTCGCCACGCACTCGTCCAGCGTCAGCACCATGCACCTCCTGCCACCGGCGAACTCCTCCACGAAGTCTGGCGGGCGCAGCCGCCGCGAAGCACGCCACGCCACCACCGAGTTCGCCGTGTATAAGATCAGCCATATCACCAGCAGGAAGTAGGCAAGTAGCCGAACGCCGCCGCAAGACGGAGCCCCGCCAGCTAGCAGCTAGTACACCGGCGCCGCGAACACCAAGGCCAGCGCCAGCGGGAAGGGCAGGAACACCACCGCACATTGGCCACCGCGTACGACGGCGTGCACGTGCGGGCAATATATAGACTTAATAATCCAAAATAACCCCAATCAAATTGCAAAGCAAGGCTAACGATAATACGATACTAAGGCCTTGTTTAGTTTACATCAAAATTCCAAGTTTTTTCACTCTCTCTCCATCACATCAATTTTTAGCCGCTTGCATGGAGCATTAAATGTAGGTAAAAAAAATAACTAATTGCACAGTTTAGTTGGAAATCACGAGATGAATCTTTTGAGCTTAGTTGGTCCACAATTGGACAATATTTACCAAATAAGACGAAAACGCTACTATTCATCAGGTTGCAATTTTTTGCAATCTAAACATGGCCTAACACACACCAAAATCCAAATGACCATCAGGGTCCAATGCAGAGGCACACTCCAGTACGTACCGTACCACAGTACCAGTGCCACACTGCCACCATTGTAATTGTTAATTGTAATGCAGCCATCATATGCCATTGCCAGTGACACACGCAATGAGCCTGTTAGCCGGTTGATTTCTGGACTGATAAACTCTGCTGATACTGATTTGTTGTGAGAAAAAAATACTATTCACTGATTAATAAGTCCTGTCTGAAACGTCTCGACAGTTGGCTAGTTGCTGAGTGCCGCATGGAGTACCATTGCGTCTGCACGTGCACGTGGCGTTAGCGGTGTTGGAAATCTGTGCCGCCGCCACGGCCGGGATGGGAGCCGCCACGGCCTCGGCGCCCGCTACCAGCGCTAGCTCCTCCAAGGCCAGGACGTCCGCTGCATCCGGCGCGGCCGCGGCAGCGTCGAGCAGCGACCGCTTCCTGCCGGCCTCTACGTGCGCCAACAGCCCCCCTGCCGCGCGCCAGGAAGACCGTGCACTGCTCCTGCCGCCGCTCCGTGCCCCGCACGCGCCGCTCCATGTCCAGCAGCTGCGAGCGGGCCTCCTCCTACTCGCGTCGTAGCCGCGTCAGTTCCCGCGCCAGCGCCTCCCGATCCCACCGCAGCATCTCGAGCTCGCTCGCCGCCGGGCCCCCACCGAAGACGGAGACGCTGTGGATCCCGTGGCGCCCCTGCGACGCCGCCGCATGTTCACGAGGAGATGCCGGCGCCCCGCGAGGAAGTCGGCGTGCGCGAACTCTCACCTGTCACGGCGGCGGCGGGCCGAGCGTTGAAGACCGAGCTGGGCACGGCTGCTGCGCGTACGTCGCGGCAGCGTGCGGTACTGCGGTGGATGAGGAAGGATAGGACGAAGCAAGAGAGGGCGTATTTTTACATCTCCACCGGTCGTGCCCATACGTCAGAGCTATCGTAAAAAAAAAAAAAACCAACGCAGGCCGGACGGAATGACACAGCGAGTTTCGAGCAATGGCATATACGACCACTCAAACTTTTTAATGACTTGAAAATACTACCTTCGTTTTTTTTTTATTTGTCACCGAATTTTTGCTGTAGCAATTTTGACCATATATTTTTTTCTGCAAAAGATTTTTAGATACATCAAGTTTTCACATATATGATTCTTTATTGAACATACTTCATTAGTGTTATATACATTGAAGTATCTAAGATTTTTTTAAAGAAAAAATAAATAGTTAAATTTGCTACAGTAAAAAGTTGCTGATAAGTAAAAAAAACGGAGGAAAGTAATTACATGTTTTTATAATAGGCACACAGATAAGACCCTCTTAAGGCCATCGGCCCTAATCCTGCAGCTTTATGCTTTGACCACGCTGACATTCATTCCTCTATCCATTTCGTTCTGGTTCTGCGGCGCCATGATTGATGACACTGCTCCCACAGTTCCACCTCCACTTCCCCTTCCATTCCATCGCGTAGTCCTGCAGCTGCCGGCATCCTGCTACCGCCGTCGCCGCCGCTTCGCTTTGAGACGGAAGGTTGCCCCGCGAGGCGACGAGCCGAGAAGGGTTTCGCCGTCCGAGAGGGGTCACCTCACCTCTTGCTCTGCCCCGCTCCGGTGAGCGAAGCTCGCCAGTTCCTCTGCTCTCGATTCGCCGTGCCCCTGGCACGCTCTTCGTTGGTCTCGTGGCGTTAATAACCCGCGGCTCCTGCAGGTCTTGTCTGTCTTCGGGGTCTCCCACCGCGGCGCGCCGGCGCTGTTGTTCTGATGGGAATTCAGTAACCGCTGGAGCAGGAAAGGAGTGAATGCTTAACTCAAGCAGGAAGATGAGTAGATCCGCGACTGTAAGGGGGCAATAATTTCCCGTTGGGTATCTGGATTGGGATCGCGTTTCAATTTTTTTGGTATTTCCTTGCTTTGCTAGAGAATTGCTCCGCCGTCAGCTCCTTTCCTCAATGGGGCCTTGTGGGGGCAGGGGTGGCGGGGGCGTTAATTTGGTGCTCGGATGTGAGTAATAGTTTTTTCAAATGACCCAGTAACCCTAAGGCGGATTTACCAGTCCCTTGAAACTTCAAACCATGGGATGGGAAATGTGCTGAGACATGATATTTTCGTAGGGAGGGATGACCGGATGAAGTGTGAAGCTACTTCTGTCGCTTAGGTCCACAATTGCAGACTTGCTATGTGCTTCATGCTCGAACTGTGAACATGGGGAAAAAAAACACCAACGTGCTACAGCTTAGCCTGAAAAATGAGCTAACATAGCTGCCATCCTTCTTTTTCACTTTTTCCTATGTAACTAGTATGAACTTGGAAACAAAACAGGCCTGCCCTGAAAGCTGAAAACATGCATCTTTTCGTGGATTGTTTGGTTTTTGCTCTGTTTTCCATGGAAACGACGTAATCACGTAATGCAGATCCAGCATATTTGCGCAGATCATTAAGAATCGAAGGAACTTCAATTTTAAGGCTATTGATGTGGACTCTTTGAATTCTTCGCAGATTTTTCAAGTCCTTTTGGTTTTCGCAACCATTGTTGCTCAGACCCAATGGGCTAGTGTGCGGGGCATGTACTGCGAGGACTTGACAGCAAGTGTAGAAAGGCCACACAGTGCCTCAATAACGGATTTTGGTGCTGTTGGAGATGGTGTGACTCTTAACACGAAAGCATTTCAGAATGCACTCTTCTACCTCAATTCATTTGCAAACAAGGGTGGGGCGCAGCTGTTTGTGCCTGCTGGAAGGTGGATGACTGGGAGTTTTAGTTTAATCAGCCATCTCACACTCTCACTGGACAAGGATGCAGTAATTCTTGGATCACCAGTAAGATTATTTCGCAAATGATTTGTAGACAATAGTTTACCTACATTAAGTAGAGTAACTTCTGTTTTGCCTCCTCACTGCAACTTTGAACCTTCGTAGTTTTTTTTTTCCATACAGTTCTCACCTATCGAAATTAAAAGAATGTAGAATTGCCTGTGCATCTTAACAATAAATAAATAATAATACTACTAATCATATGTTTACTGTGAGTACATCTCATTTCGATGAGTAAATTTCTACTTAAACTACAGTGCAGCCATTTAGTCATGGTGTCCTTATGAGGATATTTGCAGGACTCCTCTGACTGGCCAGTTATTGATGCTCTTCCATCCTATGGGCGTGGTAGAGAACTCCCCGGTAAAAGACATCAAAGTTTAATATTTGGATCTAATCTTACTGATGTAATAATAACTGGTAAGTGCTATAGTTGCATCAAGCACCTCATATGGCTAGCCTTTTTAATCTTTTGATGCATGACAAGCTATCGATCATGCTCTTTTCAGGTGCCAATGGCACTGTCGATGGCCAAGGTGCAGTTTGGTGGGACTGGTTTCACAACCACACATTGAATTATACTAGACCACCGCTTGTTGAACTGATGTACTCTACCAGAGTTGTTATTTCCAACCTAACCTTTATAAATTCGCCATTTTGGAATATCCATCCTGTATACTGCAGGTTCCTTTTGAGCACTCCTCTTGTCATTTATTACTGAAGCACCGTTTCAATTGCAATGATAATTTTATCATTTAGACTGTTTTTCCCGGATGAACAGCCAAGTCCTGGTCCAGCATCTCACAATCCTAGCACCTATCAGTTCACCAAACACTGACGGCATTGATCCAGGTGTGCTTTATCGAGATGCTGTGGCTCACTGAATTCTTTCTTTAAATGAATAGTTGCTTTAGTTTATGCCAGGTTTGCTCCATTTAGCAGTTGGACCTGCACTATCTAAAATAATAGATCAACGTCATGAAAAATTGCAAGACTTTGTTCTAGCTTGAAAGGAACAAACTAATCTGAACTAGGACAAGATTTAATTAGCTATTCGAAATATAGAGTACATGATGCATTTGTATGTTCAGTACACGAGATAGTCATCAGATATGTGCCTAAGTGTAGCTTTGATTTTTTCCTTCTGATATATGAGTCCTAATTAAGTGAAAGACCATAGCTATTGCATAAATTTAAAAAACTTTCAAATGTTATTTCTTGATGTATGACACCAGTATTTCTTGTCAGACTCATTTTGTCAATGTTGTGAAGTCCTGAACTGTGTTTTTCTTTTATTTATTTATTTTGTTTTGTTTTTCCTGTCACCATGTCTGGTACTAATCAACTTGAAACCCATCCAGACTCATCTACAAACGTCTGCATTGAAGATTGTTACATCAGAAATGGCGATGACATTGTTGTCATCAAGAGTGGGTGGGATGAGTATGGCATCTCTTTTGCTCATACTAGCTCCAACATTAGCATCCGCAACATCACAGGACAGACAAGGAACAGCGCTGGACTCGCCTTTGGGAGCGAGATGTCAGGTGGTATATCAGACGTTCGAGCAGAGGGCATCCGGATTGTCAACTCAGTGCATGGGATCAGAATCAAGACAGCCCCAGGGCGTGGGGGATATGTGAAGAACGTGTATGTAGCCGATGTGAGCTTTGACAACGTTTCCATAGCCATCAGGATCACTGGAAACTATGGTGACCACCCCGATGATAGCTACAACAAGAGTGCACTTCCCACCATAAGCAACATAACTATCAAGGACGTTGTGGGTGTCAACATTGGTGTTGCAGGAATGTTGCAGGGCATCCCAGGGGATAACTTCAGCAATATTTGCTTGTCAAATGTGTCTCTCAGTGTCAGATCTACTGATCCATGGAATTGTTCACTTGTCGAAGGGTTTTCGAACTCTGTGTCACCAGAGATATGCGAGCAACTAAGAATCACTCCAGGGCCCAGACAAATATGCTATGGCGGTAATTATCCAGCCGCTGCAGCACAACCACAGCCGCCGCAGAAGTCAAGTGCTAGCCGGCTGGTAAATCCTTTCCTTTCGATAAGTTGGTTTCTATGTAGGTAGCCTTGAGTATATCTACTTGATCATTTTTTCCCCTGTTCCCTGCAGCTTGGTAATTGTAATTGTAATTTTATGGAAATCAGTATCATGTACTCTTGTTGTTCCGAAGCCTCTTTGTTGGGGGCATGTAGGTACTGGTTATTACTCAGAAATGGAATAAATTTGTTTGACTTGAACAATTCTGTTGAAACACATCAAGTTCTGGGATGGATTATCCTTGTAATATACGGGTGTTGGCCTTGAACTTATTATCTACCGCATAACTTGGTTTCTCCCCGCAAACAAACTTCCAGGCTTATTTGATTAAGGCAAAATTGCATTACAAGATCGTGTAGCATTTTATTCTGTGTACAGTAAGTTCCTCTGCTGTAATTTTGTTGACTGGAATTCTTGTGCTATCTATTTACTATGTGCATTCAAGTTTCAAGCACTAAAGTTAAATTTATTTGTCTGTTTGCCTGTTGTTGACACAAAAATATGGCGATATGATTCAACACACAGCAAGCCGGAGGATTTGAGTGGAACGAGACTAGAGATCTGTTTGGCTTCAAGACAGAATCAGCCGATTCTGAAAACTCAACGACGTGTCAGTTAATTTGACCTGCAATTGATAAGGAGAGAAAATTTTATCAGTAATTTAATGTGGAACATATCAATGTTGCACTAGATAGTTTCAAATGTACGGCTAGATAGCCTATTCAATAAGGCTATCGACTAAATAGTCGATATCCGGCGTATCCATGAAATGAAGATTTTTAAATAAAAATTATCGGCTAATATTAAATGATAATGATATGAATCAAAATAACCGATGCTCATGGATCATAGATGATGACTGATTAATCTAGACAAAAACAAGTACAATACACCCAAATACAAAATCAGAAGATCTTTCTTTAAAATTTCAACATATATGACCAAATGGTTGATTGATGTCATCGATCGATTAGAGAATTGATATTCAGCAAAGAAGCGATATAAGAAAGCATCATCGGCTGAATGGAACATGATTGATATAAAACGTCGAGCCGATAAGTTTGATCAAAAGAGTATAACATGCGAACAAATCGACTGTCTAATATAAATGAGTCTATAAACAGTTTGAATCTAGTCTATTATCATCGACATTGAGGTTCGATCGGATCGATGCAGCTATGATAATGATAACAAACCAAAGCCAAAGAATATATAAAACGATCTATATGTTGACAGGTTCATGAAAACATGCTATATGCGTGAGAGTATAGACAAATCGGCTAAATAAGTCGATGCAGTCATAGTAAACAAATAGGGTACATATCTTAATCATGAACATGACCACCGATCGATAATTTTTAATCTAAAGTCTTACCAGAGATGTTCGATCGGATCGATGCAGGTATGGTAGTGTCATTAGATTAGATTTTATTAACTAGTGAGTTTATTCAAGATTGAAACATGTCTTTGGATGCATACTATGTTTGATTGAAATAGAGATAAAACAACCGATCAAGCAAAATTAAGCCATCAATTATAAAATTTAAAGCGTGACCAGATCAAAGAATGACCAATTAAGATGATATGATGTCGATCTATCTCTATCTCAATCAGTGATTTATTATAATTAATAAAACATTAATTATAACAAGATCGATAACTGGTGAATCAACTAAAAATAATAAGGAAAATCTTACTAATCTTAGCAGATTCGATAACTAGTGATATTGTATTAAACAACAAGTTATTTAACACAAGATCTATAACTTTGATCTATATTATGATTCATAAGAGATCAATCAGCTGATGTAGCCTTACAAACTATGATACAGATCGATAACTAATTTATATTATAGCTCATAAAAGATCAATCAGTTGATGCAGCTTTATAAGCACAATACAAATCATGACAGTACTGACTCAGCTGAGAATTCTTCTTCCAAAATTGAACCAGAACTGACTCAGCTGAGAATTAGGCGTGCTGAGCTCGAACAGGAACTAGAAAGTGCGAAAGCCGCTATTGACCATCATAAGTCTAACTTGACTCAGATCCTCAATGCCATCAAATAGAAGAAACAAGAGATGCTGACCAAGGTTAAGGAAGGCAAAGCTATGCGCAACAGTCTTGAGAGCATTCTCGGATCAGCCAAAGAAGACAAACAACAAATTGCAGAAGTTGATGCTATTCGGCTGAAAGCACTAAGAGCAATTCATGATGCTCTTAACTTGTAATTTATGTTCTAGCATCTGCAGTATATATTCTGTGTAAACCTGATGATAACTGTACTCTTCCTATTGGTCTACTGTACTTCTTGGTTTAGCTAGATTAGCCGATTTAAATTAGCCAATTTCCGATTCTGACTTTACTCTAACTTAACTGAATCTGAAAACGACCCTTATTGCAAAAACCCTTCAAATTCCTTCTCAGTCATCAATGCCTCATCCCCCTCGTTATTAGCAAAGCGGCGCTTCCCCTTCCATTAATTGGGGTTACTTTTACATGTTTCAAGATATCCACCATCTCACCTTCGTGGCTATAAATACCAGCAAAGGGCCTCGGCCTTAAACATATCTGTATCTGAAACTGTTTCTCATTCTCTCGCATCTTTCTACTTTCAAGAACCCTATAGCAGTTTCTTCTTCTTCCCCTCTCAAGATTCAAACCGAAACCCATGGCTGGCGAAGGCAACCGCGACAAGCGCGTGCCGGAGAAGGTCCCGAAGGAGAACATGCCAATAAGCCAGTGCCTCCGCCGCATGAGGTAAGATCAAACACCTTCTATTCATGACAACGAATCGCCTTCTAACTTATTTACAGGTTCATCCTGAATGACAGACTCCAACCTCTTCCCCCTAGGGCCGATGGGACCTCCAATGCTGCACCTACCGCTGCCCCCACGCCAGACTCATTGTCGGACTCCTCCGACTCGTACACCGGCGACGACGCCCGGTGCTTCCTCTAGGAGTAGAGGGCTGCCAAGGACCGTTATTCCAAGGCAACTCGGGAAAACGGTCAGCTCGAGATCTGTCTCAAGGCCTCCCAGGCCGCCCTCCTCGCCTCAGAGGAGGAAGCCAACGCCGCTCGGGTGAGGTTGGCCGAGTCCGATGCCATGGTGGCGGGTAAGCCTAATTCTAAGAAAACCCTCATTCTTATCTTCACTTCCACTTTCTTGACAATCTTCTTGCCTCTTTAATTGCTAGCCCTGACGGTACAGTTGGAAAACCTCCAACTGGCGACGAACGCAGCTACAGCGGCCATCAATGCCTGGGACACTCTACTCATCAACCGTCTACATGACATCCCGGCGCGCGCCCAGGAGATTGCCCTCCATGGCGTTCATCGTGGCGCAGCAGTGGCTCTGGCCGCAGTGCAAGTCCAGACCAGGCACGACCTCTACACCATGGAGCCGGGCTTCCCAATGGCCGATGATCCCAACATGCACAAGGAACTAATTGAGAACTTCGACGACGACACGATGGCCATTGTGGATATCACACCAGCCTAAGATGTTGTGAACAAGGTGTTCGATTAGTTTGTACTAGGAGCAAACGATTAATGAATAAAGTTTTTGCCTTTTCCTTATGAATTCATCTCTAAAACTGCCATAATATAAATCATGATTGTCCTTGTGTGTGTTTTTGCTCTATAGGCGATACATATTGTATCGGCTTTTATCCCTTGGTTTAATTTTTTTTGAACTAAAGGCGATACCCTCCTGGTACCGGCTATTAGAGCCAATGACTAAATAAATCGGCTATCAAGTATTAATCTAAACACTAGGATAATACTTCTTTAGAAATTTTCCATTGATTGCTCTATCAAACTCCTCTTCTTCTTCTAGCGTTTCCAAAATATAAGCATTGCCAGGCGCACAATATTTAATCCGATAAGGACCTTCCCAATTAGACGACCATTTGCCAAACCTGCTGTCTTTATACCCAATCGGCAATCTTACTCCAAACCAACTCCTCTTCACAAAACTATTTGTTCTTGACCTTTTTATTATAATGCCTTGCAACCCTTAATTTATTGGCCTTAATATTTTCAAGAGCGCACAGCCGATGACAACTTAAGTCCACCAAATCATCCATTATAAGGTTTTTATAGACTTCGGCTGTCAAATCATTTTGCAATATAACACATCTTGACCCAGTCTAAATCTCCCAAGGAAGAACTACATTATGCCCATATACTAACTCATAAGGTGATGATTTAATCGATCCATGGCAAGCCATCCTATATGCCCACAATGCTTCATTAAGTGTCAGGTACCACTTCCTTTGTTGCTCTTCAATTTTCTTCTTAATCAACTTAATCAAAATTTGATTGGATGTCTCTGCCTGGCTATTAGCTTGAGCATAATAAGAAGAAGAATTTAATAATTTAATTCCCATATTGGCAGCAAAACCTCTAAATTCTTCTGATATGAACATTGCCCCTTGATTAGTAGTAATGGTTTGAAGAATCCCAAAACGATAAACAATATGCTCCCTGACAAAATCAACCATATTCTTTGAAGTTACTGTTTTCAAAGGAATCACCTCAACCCACTTGGTAAAATAATATGTTGCTACCAATATAAACTTGTGCCCTCTACTTGAAGGTGGAAAAATCTGGCTAATTAAATCAATTTCCCAGCCTCGGAATGGCCATGTCTTAATTATTGGGTTCATAGCTGATGCGGGCGATTTCTGAACATTACCAAAACGCTGACAATGCTAACACCTCTTGTAATATTTAAACTAATCTTCTAATATTATTGGCCAGAAATATCTAGACCTACGAATAATCCATTTCATTTTATAAGCCAATTGATGAGCTCTGTATATTCCTTCATGTACTTCTTCCATCAATACTCTTGCTTCTTCTTGACTTAAATATTTAAGCAAAACTCTATTGACTGTTTTGTAATACAACTGATCATCTAACAAAACATACTTCGTCGATTTATATCTCAATTTTTGATGGATTCTTGAGGTAATCGGCTATTTCAACTCTCCAATCATTAGCCAAGGTCTCACTACTTA